TTTCTGTATTGAAGACAAAGTTAAAAGATATGCTATGTAATTAGATAGTTTGCTTAAGAGCAATGTAAGTATATAATTGTACAAAGTCATTCTTTTGCCGAATGTTTTTGTTTTATATGTATGCGTGTCTTATCATGTAAATTCTCTTATTTATTTAATTCAAAAAATGTAACTTTTAGGTACTATTGGTCTGTAATTTAAAGCACATTTAATCATACACACTTTGTTATGTAAATGACTGTTTCATACCAAAATAAATGAAAAAAAAAAACTTAGATACTAGTGACGCGCGGCGGCCGACCAATCACAGCGCGTTTTACGCCCGCGCGCCGGGTGGGGGAATCGCCCCCACCGTGCGGACGGCGCCTACGCAGCCAATGGGCTCCCCGATAATTCAGCTAATGTAGGCGCTGTGATTGGTCGTTCAACTCGTTCATTTTTCGGCACGTGACTGTCGTCAACAACTCGAGTTGTCTTTACGTCCTTAACTTCAGTTGACGTGAATCTAAGTTTTTTAAAGTCTTGGAAAAACTTCTGACAATGTGTCTGTTAGGTGCCAGGTGGCAAGCAACAGAGGTGAGTAGGATTCTCCTCCGTGAACCCGACAGTGAGCTGCCCGGTGGGTCCCCAGAGGCCTACCCATCAAAACCCGTACTCTACACCTTCTCATGGGAAATGAAAACCGGCAAGCTATGGCCGAGTCACCAGGACACTCAAGTATTGGACCATTGGTCCCCTTGCAGATGGAAAATTGGAGAGACTCGGGTAAATCGAGTGCCTCTCCCAGACAGACGAAACCGTGCAATGCGGGAGCGGCTGCCAATCACCTCCGCTGGCCCCGACGACGACGTGAACCTAATCTGATAAAAATATGCGTTCACTGTAAACTACTCGAGGCTTAATTGCATCATCGGAAGGCTCTTTCCGCTTGTTCTCCTACTCGCGTGATCGTATACCACATGTCCATTATAAGCTGAACCCTATTTAATACGATAAATGAGGTCAACTTACTTCGGAGTGTCAAAATTTTGGAATCTAATTTTTTATTTGTCATCATACAAATTATCATTTTATAGACAATATTAATTCGTAGCTCGGTGGCTCTACGGATATGCGCTGCTGCGCACGATCGCCATTGCTAAGCAATTTTCGCAAGAGTTGTTCACGGGATGGGTGACCAAAAATTATTAAACAAATGCCTGAGGCGCTGCAGTTTGGCTGTGAAAGAGTTAATGATGATGATCAATATATCAAAGACGAAAATTTAATAAAACATTGTTGCGACCACGTCACTTCAAATTGACATAACTTTTGTATTTGTGAACCGATTGAAATAAATCTTACACTAAATGTTAACGGAAGAATGCCCTAATATAATAGTGAAAACTGCATTTAAATCAGTTCAGCCGTTTCTGAGATTATCGTGCACAAACGTACAGACAAACCGACAAACAGACAAAAAATTTAAAAATCATTGTTTTGTGTTCTATTACTCTTATAAATGTCCCTCATAACAGTTTTTTTCAAATATCTTCAATGTACAGACATTGATCAGTTACGTTTTTATTATAGTATAGATTATAAAAGATTAGAAGGACGTGTATTTACCCATGCAATGTTTTTTCATTTATTTTAGATTTCGTGGTTTCTACATTTAGTTTATAACTAATTTTAAAAAGAAAAAAGCCTATATAATTGATCTATTCTTTATTTTTTACTGTTCTGTCTAGTAAACATTCACAATTGTATTGGATAACGATGTGCATCATCTCAAAAGATTTGAAATCTTCTGTTATAATAAAAATATTCTTTATTCCCTTCATTTGTAATTGATGTCGGTGGTATTAAAATGGTTAAAAGCATTTATAATGGCCCTGTTCGTAGAAATCGTTCGTTAAATGAAATTGATAGTGAGCCTTGTTCCAATAATTATAAGGTGTAAAATGTATTAGGTGCCGCGACGTACCGCGATACAAAATATAGAAACCAATGGATGTATCAACATCTTTTTGTTTAGGATGTGTTTAAATACTTAATTATAGGTACCAGAATCTGATGGAAAATCGGGAAATTGTAATCTGTAGAAGGCAGCTTTATGGAAAAAGGATAAGATGTCTTGATATGTGTAATATTAAATATTTCAAAAACTTTTCATTAAATATTTCAAAAACTTTTCAATAACTTTTCAACTTTTCAATAAGCATTGAACGTACCCTTGACCAAATTCCGATCACGGCAAATTTTAATATAAATAGCCACCTGCGTGGTACATTATATAGTACACAAACATACACCCGTTAACTTAATATAAGCAACATCTAATAATATATATTGGCTGTATCCGATCTGACAGAAAAACTCAATAATATATTACCTGATCTGGAATCTATCACGACTAAATAAAAGTAACTTTATGTATTAGTTTCTTGTTTATCCCTACTAATATATCAAATGTCTGTTACGCTTACACATGTAAATCTAATCCGCTTTAATTTATTTTTCTTCATTCCTATTTTCCTCTGGCGTGGTAAAAATATCTTCATATCTTCTCCTTCACTATTAATTCTTTTTACGGTAGTAGTCGATACGCCAACGAATATTAACTAATTAATTCTTTAGAAAAAAATAAGTATCAAGCAAGACTAATTGGTCAACTTATAAACAGTATCTTTTCGTAATCTTTGCTATTAACATAGAAAACAATATTTGTCGCTTGAGGTATCAAATTTGACTAATAATGACTTATTATTAGAAAAACTGGAAAATATAGGTGTTAGCCTATCGGTGGTTTAGATCATACCTAACTGATCGAAAACAATATCTTACGGTGAATAATGAATAAAATAAGGAAATAATATTTTATTCTTCCAGTAGTCACGAAATTAAAACGGGTGTCCTACAGGGAAATATACTAGGACCCCTTTTGTTTCTGATATATATATATATATATATATATATATATATATATATATATATATATTAATGACATTTTCGATATCACTAATTACAAATGTACTTTGTATGAAGAAGTATAAAGAATATGTGACGATTATAAAGAGAAATAACATATTGACTAATCATTTGACATAAATAATACTACTGACATCATAATTCAATGGGTTAATAATAATAATTAAAATATTAATTCGGTTAAATCAGTTTTAATTCAATTCAATCAATGTAAACACGATGAATATATAATTTTAAACTAAACATTTAAAAAATTAAGGAAGCAATAAATGTACAGTAAGGTATTATAATTCATGAACTATAAACTGAAAATGACCTTATAATAGTTACAAATAAAAAACTGCTGTATTATAATATCGCGCTTATATGAAATCTGTATTACGATACGGTTTAATGCTATGGGGTAATAGTACAGTATGGAACAGGGCATTTTTTGGCATAGAAAAATTCATAAGGGGCCGTATGTAAAATTTTACCTGATAAATTATGTAGAAATAAATTAAAAAATCTAGGCTAGAAAAATCTTGCTGCCTCTTTTATCGCTTTACATATACGAATTGTGTAATTTTGTACATCAAAATAAAAAAAAAACTCTTAGCATAGGCGTCTGCTGTACACAGCTCTAGAGTGTGAAGAAATAAACATAAATTAGTTATAATTAATATAACCAAAACATCCAAATATAATATAAGCTGTCTAGCAATGTGCGTCACAATACCGACCTATATTAAGGAATTATTTTTTTTTAAAACAGGAATTAGGATACAATTAAGGAATTATTTGAAAAATTGTTACAAATGCTGACATTGTGTTATATATTTAAGTAGTGACATCATTTATTTGTGACATTGTTTTTATTTTTATATAGCCAATGATTACTTTACTGAGTTTGTGTAAAGGTTGACATTGTAAGAATTAGCATGCTATTTTAATATAGTATAATAATTTAATGAATTAACATTTTATACCATGTTTTATGCAAATAAATGTTTTAATATTATTATTCAAGTGAAATAAAATACTCAGACACAATGTTAAAAATTATTATGTGATAGCTTAGGGCCCGTGGCATTTGGCCAGTCCTGCCACCCTATGGTTTCGACACTGATTAGGTGTCCGTCTCACTCAGGCGTGTGTACATTGGTGGATCGCTCGATGGCGTGATATTTGAATTATTCTGATTAGAAAATTTTGCTCGACGCGCTGGATGGAGCTAGTACAGTAGTGGGAGTGGACTCCCATAATAATAACACCTCTATCGCTCTTTCATTACCCTAAAAATAATCATGGCACCTCTCACTATCTTTATATTACCCAGAAAATGTAAAGACAACTACTACTTAACTGATTTTTATAGTATAAAATATAGATTCTTTTGTGCTGTAAAAAAGAAACAAAAATTAGTAGAGAATAGTCAGGTGTGGTATCAAATAATGATATTTTCGTTCGATTAAATACCACACCTACAAAAAAAATTGTTGACCAATATTTTTATATTCCCACACCATATGACATGTTTACCGATACTTACAAAAATAAATTAAATCTAGATTCAAGAGTGATAATTTATGTTAATATCTGTTTATTGACATTATAACTTAAATTATAAGTAATCTAATGCAAATATAATTTAATGCTCCATTAATATTTGCATAAGATTATATAATTTGGTTATTTCCGGTCGAAGTTGAAAAGCCATTGACTAACTGACTAATAACATGTTTATCAATTTTCATATATATCTACTTTATTTTTGGCGAAATATTATGCTTTATATCAGGAATTCTCAATCAGTGGAGCTGGTGTCCCAAGGGGGGCAAAAGACGTTTACATTTTAGAAATAACAAAAAAAAACCTTGACAAATATAAAGTACACAGTCAGCACAGTTATCAAGATTGTATATTTCAATTAAAATAGAAGTTTTAAAATAAATTGCGTTTTTTTGTATCTGTTAAAAACGTAAATATTATTTATAGTCCGGGGACCTCAAAAAAGGTTGGGAAATATCGATAAGTAGGTTTATATCATCTTATTTTCTTCTTTCCACGCTTATTCGGACTGCGTGCAGTGGTTTTGCGAGTATGTCGAATTTCGCTTCCAGTTTTGGTATTCTACTTTCGCTTGGTGTGCCAACAATTTTGAATTTCCTTAACACGTCTATGACGGCAATTTTTAATGTCATCGTACCAAAGTGGAATCCTGAAATAAAAACGTATAATATTGTATTAATATAGAAAACTTGGAGTTTTATTTTTCTAATATAAATTTAGAGACTCAGTTTCATAAAACGTTATGTAGTTAAATCATAAAATGTGTCTTGCTTTTCCCTTCATGACATTTGGAATAGTTAATTAAACAAATAAATTTTTATGTTGCCTCTCTTTTGTTTTGCTGACGGGTGTTATTGACTGGGTTCAGTGAAACAATATTAAGTATACTATATTTTCTTTTAATGTATTGTCACATGCTTATATTTCTATTAGTAAAAGTTATTGAAAGACGAATTAATAAACGAAATTACGTCTATTTTGAAATTCTAATACGACTCCAAAGAAACGCATTATTTGACAATTTATGATGCAACGGACATAGGACCTGACATTGATTCTGACGCACAGATAATCTTCAGGACTATAATTTTAATAAAATTATAAGAAAGTATTTCCGAGTTACAAGAACAAATGGAATAGGTCCTCAGATGCATATTAATTTGTAAGTGTTTTATCTTATTCATTATGATGTACTTACCCGGACAGTTTCTCTGTCCGTAACTAAACGGAAGAAAAGAACAGGGGTGCAGCGATTTGTACCTCCCAGGTAGAAATCTATCAGGGTCGAATACCTCGGCGTCAGGGCCCCAGACCTGCGGATCGCGGTGAACTCCATATATGCTTACGAAGGCATCACAATTAGCTGGTAGAGTGACGCCAGATGCTAAAAATAAAATAGAAATATGAGAATGTTGATTGCCTTTAAGGTACTTTAAGAAAAAAAAAAAACATTGTTTACATGTCAGTCCATCTGCTTGTCCGAGCTAATTAGACCCAGAAAAGTAGAACCGATTTGGCTCCTCTGTCTATATTAATATTATAACGAGGTAAAGTTTCTCTCAGTATGGGCTACCCCCTCTCTGGAAATACTGATTCGGTCTTGAAAATTATTTCACTTACGTGAAGCTACATTGTACGCGGGCGGTACAGCTAGTATGAAATAAAACAGGTACATAAAAACAGTTTTTAGGGTCGTACCGCACTATGATTAAACGCAAATCTAAAACTTTGCGGTTAGTAACACAAACAACACTACAAGGGCTTTTTTACATATAATACATATATAGTCTAATACAAAGTCGCTTTCCGCTGTCTTTGCGTTGAGATTTATTAAACTACACCGCGAAATTTTTATTCAGTTTTCATCAACATACCGAGTGATTGAAGTCCAAGCTTTATATGTATAATACAGAACATGCGGGCTGAGCTAATGGTCCAAACCTCTTAAACGCAGTGCAATCTTAGAGCCTTAGAGCCTGTACTTACTGTGATTTTAAACGCGCCGCTTATATGTTTGTAGTTGCGTCACACATTTGAATCAGGCGCTACCTGCTCGCCTAGCGTGACGAAATCGAGAGACTCGAAGAACTCTCCACAAGCTCGAGTAACGGGTGGAAATTGAGAATATGCCCCAGCAATATCTTCTCCTTGGTCTCGCTTTCGCGTTGTTTTTCGAGTCTCTCGAGTTCGTCTTACTGCACAGACTGGACAGGCTGTGTAACAATAGCAACACAGTATACAGGAGACCGGAGATTGCGCGGAAAATGCTCGTTTAACTTACATGTCCCGCGTTATATCAGTTTAGCGAGAATAACCAATATAATTTCACTTACGTAATTTAATTTCTTGCTCTACTCGTCTCCCGATTACAGATGCAGCACTGTAAAGCCTGAGGGATTCTTTGAACACCATATCTAAATATTGTAGTTTCGGTATATCTTCTTTTTCGACTGTTCTGTCTGAATCTCCAAACATATCGTGTATTCTGACAATTAAAAAAAAACACTCAAAACAAAATCGAATGTGAGTATTAAAATCGACAACAAAATCACAATTTTATTTTTCGTTTAAATATAAATTTTACTATATTAAAAGAATCGGAACACTTTTACAATAACAGAAGATTGTCACACAAGTGGCTAATTCAATTTGAAATAGTTCGATGCCCGCGAGCTATAACGAAGTAGTAAATAGAAACGCGATTATAATAATGGGTTCCAATTAAATTTCTAAAAAATTAAACTATCGGTCACCGATTCAATTTGTAATTAAAGATTTTGTGCCAATGTCTCTTTTTCGTTCTTGAGCTACAAACATATAAATCGTGAAATAAACCCTCATTAATAAATAGATAGATAATGATAATACTCTTATATATATTAATATTAATACTCTTGAGTAAAACATAATCTTGAGTAAATATAAACTTTTCCCCCTAAAGCGAAACATGCTATTTTTACCGCTTTCAAATTCTATGACGAGATACTTTTTGAGCAGCAGAAGTGAAAAAAAGGTTAGGTGAATTTATTTTTTACAATTTTCACGGGACGCTGTATTACTTATTGAAAATCTCAATATGTTTCGTATCGTTGCGTAGACTACGAAATTGTACATTTAATTTAATTGAATAAGCTCTGAAACTATGCTATATATATACTATGCTATATAAATGAGAAACAATAAGAAAAATCTGAAATTCGTGCTCACACTTCAAAAATTAAGACAGGCTGACAATAAATCCTTCCATTCATCTTCAAATACGCCACTTTCCGGTTTTGTATCCAGGAAAATGTTTATCGGTCAGTTGCACAAACATCATTAAAGGTTTAATGACGTCTTTAAGCTGTAATGAATGTCAAATTTGTACGGGTAATTTCGCTTTAAGTAATGACAATTTTAATGGACGTTTGTACAACTGACTATGTAAGTGTTAGTACTATGTCCTGTCAAAAACACCAGGCTATACAAATCTGTTGTAAAATTTGACATATTGTGGGAACCTGACCTTTACGTAGGCGAACTCGCGGCTAAATAGCTAGTATTAAATATACTCAAAAGCATTAATTTGCATAACTTACTCCTGGTAAAGTTTCTCTTGTACATCGGGATATTTAGACAAAAGTTCAAACAGAAAACTAAGAGATATAGCTGAAGTGTCAGTCCCGGCGAGAGTCAGAGCAATCAATTCCTGCATCAGTTCCATGTCCGTGTATCCATCATTTCCCTCAAGACTGAGTACCAGTTCAAGGAACGACGGAATTTCAGATTCACTGATTTCTTAAATAAAAATATCACAAATCAATTAGGTATTATGACATAGCTAATGTTGAAATAAAGTCTAATTTAGGTATATTAAAGAGGAACGGATTTTACTGTAGGAGCTCAAGTAGCATCCACTTTTCAAGTTGACATACCTCGTGTATTTACACATACCTTTAGTTTTCAATTTAACTTTAAGATCGTTTATTAATTGTAATCTTACCGGTTTCTTTGTTCGGGTTTTCTCGGCGTTTCGCTCTCATCTCGTCTCGTTTGTCATTTATTACCTAATTAGCAAATTTGTGTTAATAATTTCACAGATAATTGTAGCAACTACTACTAAAAATATATTTAATGTAAAGAGAAATAAGCCTTCATCTTTAAGTTTAAAGTTTTTTGACGATCTTTATTATTGAAGTGCAAAACATCTACAGTAAAAGTAAAAGTACATTTTGTAAAAGAGAATTTTGTAATTAGTTTGTTAAGAATATTTTGGTCAATGAAATTGTAGTGCTGTCTCGGAAATTGCATATGTCCACTGCAATTGTAAAATAAAAAAAAAACACACATTTTTTCAACTGATATGTAAGAAAATACAGTTTTTATATATAAAATGTGCATAGCAATCAGTGAATTGAAATTATGCACGTGAACTCATTTATCGGTGTAAATGACTTTACATGTAAAAATAACATTTAAAAATATGTGGGTTGTTTTTTTATATGTTGTACAAAAGACAAAAAAAAATATTATTATTGTATTACCTTTAACATGAACTCGCACAAAATCTGAACTGGATAAAATCATCGTATCCGATTTAATGGTAAGCAATCTGTATAAGGAGGCAAACGCTCTGGATATATACCTTCCGGCGTGCCACATGGCTCTTTGTTAGGTCCTTTGTTATACTTACAACGGAATAAATATAATTTTTAACTAATAAATCAAAAAATAAGACCTAAAAGACTTCTATGTACAACTGGTTTATATTTTTTATGTATATTTACATGTATTACCTTTAACATGAACTCGTACAAAACTTGACGCGCATTGTAATACTTAGAATAATGCGGCGTCAGTTTAAAAATCCAATCTGGATGTTGCCAAACCATAAAAAGACGTTCAGAAGCAATTTCCATGAGTGTTTCCACTTGGACTAGGACTGGATAGCTTGAATCCTCTTGACAATTTACTGTCAATCCATATGATGTCTCTGTAATGTGAATAAAAATCCAATTCTCTAACTTAAAAAAATCCTCATTATAGCGTATCTAATATAGTTTATTTCCTGCTCTACGCTAAAAAGTTTTTTTTTTTGTTTTAAGTACTCATGACCAACGAGTCTACATAGAATTTATTCTTATCTTTTCGCTCCGAAAGAAACAATTTATCGTCATCAATTATTTTCTTCATCCATATTCGTAATTAAAATATATTATACTAACACTGTCATTTTGATTAAAAAATAAAACATAATATACTACTACTAACAGTGTCATTTTGAATCGCTAATATGACTTCAATAAGAAGTTAAGATATTCATAATTATATTGTATAATATTTAAAATTCTTTGACACCAATAAGTTTTAGATGATTTATGAAACGGGGTAGGGTTTGACACTGCCATGATTTTTACAAAATTATAAGAACATTATGAAATTTCCAAAATTTCGTTTAATTGACCAGTAACTTTTTGTTTTCGATGAAATATTATTTCTGCGTATAATGTGATACTTTCTAAGCTTTTGTATATGTACATAAAATTCTTTATAATATGCTTTTAAACTTTATACTATGAAGATGATGAACTCGAGATACTAAAGAAAAGCTCCAGAAGGTCTCACCCGTTTCTCGAGACTCTCGAGTTCATCATGCTACGTAGGCTATCAATTATGTAATACATACTCACCACAGACTATTGCTAATTCGTATGCAGATATATGCGGGAACAGTTCGAATTCGCCGCCACCAACATGTTTTTCCAACACATCGACCAGTTTCTTACTTTTTGCAACAAATATCGGGAAATAATTTTCCATCATCTTAGAAGTAAAATTTGGGATCAAGATTTTTCGGTGCCGTTTCCAAATGGGTACTAAAAAAATATACGATAAAATTTAGAAAAATATAACTTTACGTTTCAAGTGAGAAATAAAATAACTAGAAGCTTGTACAGTAAAAGTTAATTATTCGAGGGATACCTTCCATTTTGTCGCGAATGTAAAAATATCATGGAATGACATTCTTTATAATAAGTTTTCTCTGCCTTGCAACAAATTAACGTATTGTAAAAATACCTGGAGCGTTAAGAGTGCTCTTGCCAATAAAATCTTCCAATAAAACATATTCGGAGGTCTTCCCGAGTTGAGACTTCAACAAGAAATCCACGTCCTCCACATTAGTTAGAACTGTAATAGATCAAATAAATTAGCTGAAAAAATCTACACATTAAGGTGAATAGCCTTTTTTAAGTTCAACTGTTACAAGGCACTAACAAATGTTGGACTTAAATTCACTCGACTGTATGTCAGTGTAGCACAATATGTCAAATTTCCACAATTGATTTTGAACTCGATGTGTTAAGTTTGATTAATTAAATATACTTTATTGCACTAAAAACAATCACATAAACTAAAAAGAAATATAAACGTACATGCAAAAGGCCGCCTTATTGCTAAAATAGCCAAATGGCTATTTTAGCAATAAGGCGGCCATTTCCATTAGTCAAATGATGTCTGGTAGAAATCTACCAGACATCATTTGACTAATGGAAACTATACAAACTAAGGGAAAATACTGTGGGTTAGTTAATTAATTAAATAAATATACCAGAAAAAGGAAAAAAGAGACAGAGTGACGGAGAGACAACGTACTTAAATGAAGAAAAATTCAGCTTGTGGAAAAAGTACTTTACTTGTTTCATGAAAGAGCCCCGAGATTGACTCTAATATCCACAGACAAAGAGTTCTACAATTAAATAACTCTGACGAAAAATAAACTGAAGAAATTTAACAGTTTTGTATAGTCTGACGTGCTGTGGACTGTATACGCAACACGACATCACGCCAGGTTAAGTAACTTTTCGTCATTTGATTTTAAACCTTAATGCATTATGGGTAGAGTTAAAAATCAACTGTGGAAATTTTGAGATATTGTGGTAATGTGACGTGCTATTGGTTGTGCCAGTATTAGAAGTAGGTGTAAGAAAAGTCCACGATAAAAAATTTCAAAACCAAAATGATGTTGCATATTTTAGCTGTCTTTAATTAATGTAAATAATGTAACTTCAGCTACTATTTTTTAAACTTATTTTAAGTTAATGGAAGTTAATTTTTATTGCTAGGATTGTATAGACTGTCTCTGAAAAAATGTTAGTAAATCATATGGTGTAATATTGGATTATTGTCCAGCCTAATTAATTAACCTGTAATATTTGTCGTCATGTATTGAATGAATTACTAAACCACTTATTTTTGACATCCTTCTCTCTCTCAAAATAATTAGTTGGGATTTTGCGCTTCTTTCAATCCAGAAACCGGCCGTTAGCGATTTTGTATAGGAATTTAAGTAATGAATTCGAAATTCAAAGTGTGATGCTAATTGCTACTACTTGACTTCTTGCGGCAAAGGGTCTCTCATAAACAGCGGGACGTCATCGTGCGGTGATAATGTTATAGAAGTGTTTTTAAGCAAATTCACAATTTATTTTAAGGATGAAATAATATCATAAAATACTAACCAAAATTCACATTCGGTCCCATGCAAAATTTTACAATTCCACCGTTTTCAAGACTCTGATGGCTAAGGCTAGTTATTACCTTATAAGCATCTGAAACAAAGGTAAGAAACAGATGAGCTAAAGTTTGGAATCAGTTACCAAAACCATATCACCTATATGACATACCTATTCCATTTTAAAATATTCTTTTTAACAATGGTTACTTTTTTGCTATTCTTCAATAAATAAATGCCAAGACACATTTTGAAAGCATCCAAAGCTTTTCTAAATAACCGGGAACTTTTTTCTTTTCAGTTTATAATACAATATATGAGATTATTGATGGATAAAGTCGTATCTTATTGAACGGTAAGCAAGCTGTTGTGTATGGAGGTAATCGCTCTGGCTGTATATATTCCGGCGTGCCACAAGGCTTCTTAATAGGTCCTTTGTTAGACTTATAACCGAATGAATATTATTTTTAACTTGAAAATCAAAAAGGAGGTTCTCGGAGGATTCTATGTGCGACTGGAAGGTTTTTTTATGATTTACTAATGAAACTGAAATTTGAGTTTTAGTTCCAGAGCGTGTGGTCCCACAGTGCTATTTTAAATACAGCGTCATACAATGGCTGGTCATAGGATAGTTGGCCAAAAATTTATTGTCTCCGTGCTTCGGAAGGCACGTGAAGTTGTTTGTCCCAGCTGCATCTGCAGTAGTTACCTATCAATCCGCACCGGGCCATGGCTGGGTGGATCCATGGCCCATTTTCCCAATTCGATCCCATCCATAAAGAAGGCATGAGTCTCAGTACTAGATACATAATAGGCTGGTGATAATGATGACACAGCATTAGAGGCTCAACCAAAGAAAAGCTATTACAAAAGATATCTAATATAGATTTTGTTTGACAACGCTGTTTTTGACGCTATATTTTTGCACAATATCGAAGAAATGGTACAAGCTACAGCATGTCAGGTAGTACAAATCTATGAAAATGTTTCCACTTGTATTTAAACCTTTTTAAACAAGGCTTTTAAGATAGAGTTAAAATTGATGTATCTTGTTACCACATTATGTCAAAATTTCGTAATAGATTTAGACTTCTAGATTCAATGAATTAACGTTTAAAATTGAATTTGGAAATTTGACAGTTTTGTATACCCTGACATGCTGTTAAGGTAAAAATCTTAAAAAAAAAATATAATATTTAACTTTAATTTCTTTTCTTATAAAAAAAAAAATTGTGTCACTTACTTTTGCCAGTAGATCCAATAAATTTATGAGCAATGCCAATAAGCGGTAAATTTCCTTTCGCCGCTGGTATTTTGTTAGCTAACTCATAGAATCTTCTGTTCTTTATTCTATTTAGAATTAATAATAAGGTTGGTATCGCTATAACAATTAAGAGAAAAATTATCATTTTGAACTTCTTATATTTCTGATTGTTATCAAAAATTATTAATAAATCTTGAGAACATATAAGTAATATGTTCTCAATCACTGTTATATTATAATGTGAGAATGATTACTTGTGTTGATGATATATAAGTTGCCGTTGAACGTAAAAATTATAAAAAAAAACACATTTTTGTTTAGGGTACAGTATGGGAATATTATTTTTAAAAATATAAAATATTAAAGGGTTTATAAAAAGTTTCATATGTCATTTATTTGACAATATATAATGTATACATTTATACAATAGTGATATACATGAACAAAAATCCATTTCCACTGACTTTAAAAACGGAGAAGGTTTTCAATTCGATTGTTTTGTGTGTTACCACATAACATGGACTGGGTGGCCGATTTTGTTAATTGCTTAATATTCGAAAGCTGGTACTTATCATGTCTCATTTAAATTTGAACGATGTCAGATCAGTAGTATTGTTTTTATATTCAGCCTGGAAAAACTATCTAGAACATATAGTTGCATGTTTCTGTGTAGATTATGTTCAAGACTACTGATCCGGTCTTGCAGTAGTTCTTTTGTAAATTTGAAAAATTTATAAGTTCATACCCCGAATGACTATAATAATTTATTAAAAAAAGTACACAGACTTCGCGAAAAATCGTTCAAATAAAACTTAAAAAGTGTAAAGGTGTTAAACATATTCAAAATAATTATTACCTATGTTCAAAAGTTTTGAGATAAACTTTTTGCTGAAAAATTATATAAAATGTTACTGGCTGTTATTTTTTCCCGATTTTAAATGTGGAATGTAACTTTTAGTTTATTTGTATCGTAATTTCATTTGTTTATATTTTCTCGTAATGGAGGAAACGAAACAATAACGTGCAACTATTATTTCGCTATTTAAGGCGGGAGAAAAAACCGATGCAGATTTTACGCAAGCTGAAAAGTTTTTTACCGTAACTTCGTCGATTTCACAATACAGCGCTACAAAGCGACAAGTTCTCTGAGGTGAGGACGCCTGAGAACATCAAAATCATCCGAGTCAAGAATTAGCAGAGTGACACGTTATTTCACAATAAGGATTGGGTTTTTCAGCAAGACTCGGCGCCATCACATAAGGCAAAAAGCACCCAAGCTTGGTTAAGGGAGAATGTGCTGGCCTTCATCGCGGCGGAGTAGTGGCCCTCCTCCTACCCCGACTTCAACCCGCTGGATTATTCTTTATGGACTGAATTAGAGCTCAGGGCCTGTCGAAAGTCCCACCCATACTTGGAGTCACTGTAGCAAATCCTTGTTCAAGAAGCAAAGCAAATTCCACTAGAAAAGATTCGTGCCGCCATTGATGACTGACCAAGTCGTCTAAGGGCCTGTATTAAAATAAAACAAGCGCGGTTATTTTGAATAAAATGTATATTTTATTGTTGATTATTATCTATTTAATGGTTACTGAAAATTTGAGAAATATAAGTTAATTATTAAAAAACTAACGCATCTTTTATTTCGTCTTAAAAACTTATGAACACCGAGGTATATTTGATTAATTTAGCATTCAAAATGCTATATTGGAAAATATTCTTAATGCAAAATTCTCTAAAACCTCAGAGTACCCAGAATCTGGAGAATTTTATAAGCTTGAAGAGGATTCATTTAATTTGCAACTTATACAAATGTAGGTTTATAACCAGATGAAACCAAAATGATATTTAGTTCAAACAATTATTGTATTAAATTTCATATACCTATAATATTATACTAAACTTATAAATGACTAGATTTTGATACCCAAGATTAACTAGTTAACTATAATGCCTGAATAATCAAAATTATGTTAGACAGATACACCGATAGACAGGGAAAAGAACGGGGTAGACGGACAGACGAATGGCCAAATTTTTTGTTAAACTCTTAGAGAATTAAAACCACTGAACCTTATAAAAACTTGCAAACAGACTTCCGTACAATCGAATTGCTTTAATTTTTTTTTGTTTCAAAAGATTCGGAAAACATTATTTTTTTTGTCAAATATTAAGTGTTTGAATTTTCTATAAAAAATAACCTTTTTCTTAGATATTTTTAAAGCTCAAAATGCAACTAAATAAATAAAGAATAACTAAATATTTTTTTGCACAAAAGTATCTGTTACGAGTAGGTATATTGTTGTATGGTAGACTTTTTTAATTATATAAACATTCATATGCATGAAAAACAACTGTTAGTAATAAAAATATACTGTCAATCAGTTCATTTTACGTATTTCATTCGTGTATTACGTAAGAGAAATGTTGTCAAGCAAATGTCGGTGTATAAGTGTGGTGTAATTTCGTTATCATTTTTATATTTTCTGCCGTTTCATTTATGATTGGTGGTTTTCAAAACTAAGGAGCTTCTATATTCGATGGGTATGTATGTTGACCGATTTCTCCATTTCCGATTTTAAAATTTTCTTTTTTTTTTCGAAAGTGTATAGATTCGAAAAGGTGTCATATGAATTTTAATGAAATCCTATTGTTAGTTTTTTTTTGTTACTATGCCCGTGTCAATGGAGGAAGGTGTCGAAGAAACAAAAGAACGCGTATTTTGTTTTCCTATGATTTTTTTACAGCGTGTACAAAATAAAACGGACTTCAAAGAGGCAACAACTTTGGTATTTTTTTCTTTTTATTTTAGTTCGCTTTCTCCTTGCAGTTGTTGGAATCTAATACGGGAATGAGGTACATGTGGTACCTAATATGCCATTACAATAGGATGGTTGATTTAAATGCTACCGTAAAGTTCATTAAGCATATTAATTATCCGCTTATACGACGCTAATTTTGATTTGTTTATGAAATGGCGTCAACGATTGATCTATGTCTGTAATCGCACGAAGTTGTTTTACAAAACTTCGAAGAAAAATTGCTCGATTATAAATTTAAACATCAAGAACTAGAACATTATCAGTAATTCTAACCAAATGTCACAGATATTTTAAGCTATTGTATGTGAATAATGCTGTTCCTAAATTAGTAAGTGCATAAGTTTTTACATCTGTCAGTAGTCATCCGATAGTAGTAAATAAAATGCTTTCGTCATGCCTCAATTTATTATAGTTTATGTAAAACTCGTTTTTGCCCGCGACTTCGTCCGCGTGGTATAGTTACTTTGGTCAGCATTCTAAAACGAATACTCAATCATAATATCATGTAAAATACTTGAAATAAAGTTTCATGGTGTTGTCTTTGACAATAACAAACTTTAATTCCATATTTCTTTTATCACAAAAAACAACGTAAGTATGTCCTATCTCCAGTCGACTCTGTTTAGAGGGTTAGACGTGAGAGCGTAACTGACATATACACAGATTTATTTCGCATGTATAATAAATGTATGGAATTATTTAATAATTCTCCTTGTCGCTCATTACTTCGTATCTTCGATAAGAGATTACCAGACAGTTACCGAAATAAATATACTATAAAAATAATATAAATCACGGTTCTTTGGTCGACTTTTAAACTCACAGCTGTTAAATTCAAATACTTAATTGTTAATATTATAATGAATATGTCGTAGCCAACTGGGTAAAGAAGAGAGAGAAAGAAAAATGCGAATCTAATGTCCATACTAAACTTAATAGAAACTTTTTTTTAAGGCTCAGGTCTTCCTTATGGATTGGTTGAGTAAGATGGGCCATGAGCCTTCACGCTTGGAGGGCAATAATGACTGCAAATGCAGCCGAGATCAACGGCATAACGTGCCTTCCAAATCACGGAATAGCTCAATATAATAAATTTTTGGTCACCCATTCCTTGACCGACTCTTCTTAAACTTGCTTAACAACAACGATCGGGGCGCTTATTCACCACACTAAGAAGTAGAGATTACTCATCCGTAAAGTAAAGCTTAAAATTTTAACTAAATTTTATTTGAAAACTTGAACCACAACAGTGCCATGTAGTATACTTAACGCCATCTAGTATTAGCATCTAGCACAAAATGTCTAGATTGCGTTTTTTTTCGTACATAAATTCATTCGTACATTATTTGTACTTGAATATTTTCAAAATTATTTATTTCTAATATAATTTTTGTTATCAATTATGTACTCAAATACCAATTTTAATCGCCATACTAATTAAACATTTTGTAAAGAACAAAGGTCAAAATGGACTACGAAAAAAAGTTCTTGTTACCGAGATGGAACACCGTTAGTATAAGTTGAATGTAACTATTATATTACCAACAATTTATTTTTAAAAGCTGGGAAAAGAAAGATAGTCCTATCTAAAATATGTCGTTACTTTTTAGAGCGCAGTTTAAATTGTTATTTTTGATTTGAACGCATCTTAATCATAATATCATTCCTAGAGAAGTACATCTCTTTTCAAAGAACAAGATCGATTTTATTTCTGACTGATCGAATTTGATACAAATCTTATATTATTTATTAACCGAATAAATCCATGAAAATTATAAAACTTAGAAACATTACTAATATAATTAGGTGTTACTTAGAGCAAAATAGTTTATTTATAATGAAATTAAAAACTTATGATTATTCATAAAAATCGATATAACAGTAATCAATTGATTGCGACCTCCCTTTTTTAGACAAGTATGTGTAGACGTGTTTTTGCGCAGACCGTTTTGTAACTTTGGCGGCGTTCTGTATTATAGGGAGCATATTAGGTTCCATGGGCAGTATAGAATTGAAGTCTGTAGAGAAATACCGGATTTTCTGGATTTATTAGAATTAGGCTTAAATTTAAATAAAGTCTTAATTATAAGGGGTAGAATTAAGTCGAGACATTGGGAGAAAACAATATTATATGTACATTTTAATAAATAATGACACATCCGGGTTAGATGGCCTAAGAGAACACTGCTGTAATTGTCTTATTGGTCGATGTACACTGGGATGCTGTGCTTACATAATAACCATAGTTTGGTATCTTGGATGGGCCAGACACGAACAGAATGTAGCTGCTTCTGCAGTATTCCGTGACGAGGTCATTAGAGTTGTA